ATTAAAGATTAAAGGTCAATTAACAACTAAAAACCTTAATAAAGATTGCACATTATGCACACATTTTTGTAGATGAATAAATTATCGTTCATCCTTAGCAAATTGATATTATACATTTTGCATATGGCTACAGGTCCTAAGAGATAACTAACCGTCATCGTGTCCGTGTCGAATCCAATATAAAGAAACATTCGAGGCAGAGATATGATGACCACAGTTTATAACACGAAACGATAATTATCTTTAGTCAATACATATACTGAAAACATTTCTTCATCTGGTGGTCTCCATCAATCACCGCACACATTAAGCTATACATTTCCTCCCCCTCAGGTTTAAAGGACCTGTTATAACTACAAGTTTTTCTTTCTCTTCACACCCCCTTGTGAATCGAGAAGAACTTCGTCATCAATCATATCCAAAATATTTATGTTTCTTATGTCCTCTCTTATTGCGTTTCTTGCTATTTAAAAATAGAATTTTCTCATATTTTGTCGACTTTCGACTGCGAAAATTACACCAATGCGATAATTATGTTCCTCTAATGATATTTAACGAAAATGACAACTTTTGGCCACCAGTGAGGCAAAACTTAGTGCATAAATGAGGGTTTTGAGTTTAATAACGATAATTCTATAACGGGATAATTGAAAAGATCTAAATTTAACCCTACCTGAAAATTGTATATGATGTTAAGCATCATCAATCACTTTTAATGTTACAATTACAGAAATTATAATACCAAGTAATTGCTTACTGTCTGATACTACTACAGTCTTATTTTCATTCAAAATTAACGTAATTTCTGGATTTGTTGGTGATGCAGTCGGTGGAATGCTGCTCTATGGAAGTGCACTCTGAATCGATTGGTATCCTGGTATGATATGACTCTGGAACTACCGGAGCAAGTTTTCTTTTCAAAGCAATTCGTTAACATAGCCTTCCGGGACAGAGGAAGACTTCTACCCTCCATGTTTTTTTTTATAGTACAAGGTCCCTCCTTGATTTGCAATATATGTGATGCTAAAGAGTGATGAAGAACGGGTTTGGCTAATTGCGAAAAGAAGCGACACATCTTGACACAGTGCACCTACCTGATCTGTATGTAACAAGGAACCGATCGTGGAAAGTGTTCAATGGTCTTAACTTTGCATATTTTTGAATCAAAGTAATCTGCGATTCTTCGGTGATCTTAAACATTCGAGGAGGTTATTTTTGTTTCAAGAATACTACTCCCGAACCCTCTTTATGCGCCTATAGGACATGATCAATAGCTCTCCACGCCTGATGCAGGGCCTACAATAGCCAATTATTAATATAACCTAAAAGCGAATAAGTAAGGTTTATTGTTGTATACCTTCAGTACTAAAAAAACGCTCCAGTAATAATTTTATGTATATCATGGAATTCCGGTATTTTTGATTTTGTGGACTGTCTTTTTAAGAATATATATAATTTTTAAAATATGTTTTTGTAAATGAAAAGACACGTATGCCCCCTATGTTGAAAATTTTTTTGTCTTAATAAAGCATTTTCTGCAATGCGTCTTCTCTGCGTACAAAACGTCAAAATTTTAGAATTCCTTTTTTTACTTAGATTCTGACTTCGTTGGAAGTAGTGCATTTAAAGCACTATTTTCAATATCGCCGAAGGAGGTGTTGATAATTCATAATCAGAATTCTTTTCATTCAAATTTGCAGGAACTTGGTTTCAATTTGCAAATTAATTGATAGCGTCCTTGGGTATTGTTTTTTATCAATCAAACAAAATTTTTATAACTAGTAAGTATTCACTTTCACCCCAATTTTTGAGCAAAAATGTAGTTATCAATTTACCGGACTTTTTTTGTCAAAAATTCATATGGAAAGTGTTACTTTTGTTCATGATCTTTGCTATGCTTTTCTCGGGCGTTTAGTCGTATCCATGAACAATTGCATCAATTTTTAAGTGACACTAGATCACGAATGTCAATGGATATTATTCAATTATGGGTTGTTAAGGATCACTATGCAAAAAAATGATGTGCACAACACGTGTGGAAAGTGTCTTTTTTCATTGATTAACTATGACTTCACCCTCATTAATCGTACTGCAAATTCATGAAAAAAAGTATCACTTCCAAAACTAGTTGCACCAATAACTATTTAAAGAGGTACACAAATTTCTTTCCCCTAGGTGTTGTTTAACTTGAGAACCACCAATTTTTCGAAAAACTCAAATAAATAAAATACCGTTGCGCTTGAAGTTGAAGAAATGAATAAAAAGTAGGGAGTTTCATTTAAAATACCGAGATGTAGGTTTTAGCTTAAACCAGTTCGTTAGGTATACAGTGAGTTTTTTTAAAATGCGAACATAGGAGTTTGCATGCAATGTAATTTCCATAGCAACTTTAGGATAAATTTTTCTTAAACTTACGATAACTGGACTTCACATGGCGCGCGCTGACATCACAATTCATTGTGTGTGAACCAACCTCCAATTATTTGTAAGTCATGTGCACCTGGTATTCTACTAATTTGATTTATTCAATACATAAATGAATAAATAACGAAAACAATTACAACAAATGTTCGAAGTGTCCTCCTTGACATTCTAAGCAATAACCTAACCGATTTCGTAATTAAATTTGACGGCGGTATTTTTTAAAAATTTGACAGCTTTCAATTGTATCTACTACTCATTTGAACTACTCAATAGATTGATGTGTTTTTTTTTAAATCGAACATAGGGAAATTACAGTACATACAAACTCCTATGTTCGCATTTTAAAAAAATTCACTGTATGTACATCTTTTTTGAAAATCTAATTTGCATTATCTTCGCCCAATATAATATAAAGTGAGTTTTTTTAAAATGCGAACATAGGAGTTTGCATGTAGTGTAATTTCCCTATGTTCGATTTTTTAAAAAACACATCAATCTATGAGGTGTGCGCGGTTCACATTCCCAAAACGCGCAACTTGTGTGACTATGAACAGCAACTCATAGTCTTTATGATGAAGAGCACTCGGTAAGATTTTTGTAAAGAAGCCATGTGAGGCCACAGCAACTTTAAGATACATTTTTCTTAAACTTACGATAACTTGACCTCACAAGCCACGCACTGACACGACAACTGATTGTGAACCAACCTTCAATTATTTGTAGGTCATGTGCACCTGGTATTCTACTAATTTGATCTATTCAATACATAAATGAAGAAAATAAGAAAATAAATAACGAAAACAATTATAATAAATGTCCTCCTTGACATTCTAAGCAATAACCTAACCGATTTCGTAATTAAATTGGACGGCGGTATTTTTACAAATGTGACAGCTGTCAATTGTATCTACTACTCAGTTGAACTACTCAATAGGTTGATGTGTTTTTTTTAAAATCGAACATAGGGAAATTACATTACATACAAACTCCTATGTTCGCATTTAAAAAAAATTCACTGTATACAAACAAAATACCGGGATCTAGCAGTTCTTCTCTCCTACTCATAAAAATGTAGCTTAACAATGACAACTAAACTAAATAAAATCCTACCAGTTTAGACTAATTTACTCAAGGAGTGGCCATCCTCTACAGTTTGAAAATTTTAAGAATAGGTAATTGTTTTTACTCCAGCGTGAGCTGGGACTTCCTTATTTAAATAAACACAGAATTTATCCTACTCTTTGGTAATCGTTCATTGGACTTTAATAGACAATAACATCAAGTTTTACTACAGCTAGATTACCAAAAAGTGGTCTTTTACAGAACGTTACAAATTTAATTAGACTAACCTTTACAATATTTGTACAGCCGATCTCGTGAACTGCTCTTTCCACTGGTACAGGGTGGGTGTGGTGAAACCTGACGCTTAGGTCTCTGTGACTTCCTAGGGGGTTGCTTGAAGTTAACACACGGAAACAAAATCCACGGGGCCTATCCTTCCTCGGAACGAAAGCAAAGTGCTGCTCTTTTTGTTATTACGCTGCCTTTATTCACAACCCCAAACTTAACACAAACTAATTGGTACCTAAAGGCATCGATAAACCTCATCACACCTGTGAATGTTCAGCAATTACCAAATACTTTCCTTAAGACGCTCCTGTTGCATTTAGCATTTTAAGATTGTATGTAACAGATGGTGCGGCGAAATATTTCCAGATGTTCATTACCTTACTAACACAACATAACAGAACACACTCCCAAGTCCTACTCCTAACTTATATGGGTGAGCAGATATAGGACAGATGTCGGATAGCGTGAGCTACACACGGAAACTTGAATTCAATATATATTCTATATGCCTTAAATGCTCAGTCAAATAACATGAACGAACTGGCACGAACTTGCCCAATCTCAAATTATATTATAGCCTAATTTAACGTCAAAAATAATTGAAATTCAGCAGGGTGACCCGCCATCTTTATTTTAGGTGCTTATATCAAGTTTTCTTTAAATTTTGAAATTCACTCTCCATACCTATATAAAGCTCGAAATTTTCTGTGACTAGCGCAGGTACCAACCTCACAACTGCGCATGCGCGATTCTGCTTTTCAGCTATTTCTTTTATGACTAAAAGAATATATGTACCAAATTTGTTAAGCCGTTTAACCGGAAATTAAAATACAGACAGACCGACCGACATAATTGATATTTTGTTTGATTCGGATTCCCTAAAGATCTGCGTCGCTCCATCCATGTTAATATGTATGATCTAAGCGGATTCCCGGTGCCTCAAAACGTGTATTTCCGTTAAAACAGTGCGAGGTCATTTTTTACCTTAATACAATACTTCCCTTATTATTATTCTTTAATTTAGTCCAGAATGCATAGGCGCCCTAAATATCATAGTAATTATTTAGTCTGTGTATTTATTATTCAGAATAATATAATATTATACTTATGAGTAGCGAAACGCTATTTTATTTTAGTAGGTACTGTATGTAAAGTATTCAAAACCAAATTTCAAATGTATGTCGCCTAGGGATTTATTTTTTATCAAAATTTTAAAATGTCAACTGTCAAGCTGACAACTGTTAAGTTAGTAGCAAATTAAAACGCGAGGTACGGTTTTTGTAGTGACAATAGTGAAGTTTTTTTTGTAAGAAAAATGGCAAAAACATACGACTATTTATTTAAATTGTTATTAATCGGTGACTCGGGAGTAGGAAAGACGTGTGTTTTATTTAGGTTTTCTGAAGACGCGTTTAACACTACGTTTATATCCACCATTGGTGAGTCACAATTATTTTCATAAGAAAAATGGTATTTTATGTATGAATATCTTCGTCCCGTTGATGTTTGCTTTCTCGCAGCACTTCAGACATCTTAGCGCCTCTGTTTGCATCTGGAATGTGTACTTTAGTTGCTTGTTTCAGATAAATAGATAACGTTTTGAATCTTAACCACACCTTCTAAAGTTCATGAACTTCCTTCCCCTTTTTAAGTTAAAAAAAAAGTTCATTACAAAGACAATTTGTGGATAGCTGCTACATGTAAACGTTTTCATTTTCAACATTTGCGAAGTCACGGAGCATTCGATACAACATAGGTAAGGAAGATTCATGGTGAATTTGAAACACAAAATTGTGTATCGAGCAATGGAGTTCCCCATATCTTTTAAAATTGATGCAGTTTTCCTGTAGGATATCACATGGTTATCTAAATTTGATATGTTTTTTTTTCACCTTTGTACAAGGTTTTGTTGTAGTAAGTATTTACATTGTTACTACATGTGAAAGCATTCAATTGCTTTAATTCCACAACTTTTTTTCTAAGAACTTTAATTAATGCCTGTAATTAAGCGTAATAATCGAGAGACTTACTATTTGTTTTCTTCCAGGAATCGACTTTAAAATTAGAACTATAGATTTAGACGGGAAAAAAATTAAACTACAAATATGGTAAGATAATGTCTCGACTTATTGAGGTAATTCTATTTGCTTCGCTATTAGGGATACCGCCGGACAAGAACGATTTCGCACAATCACGACCGCTTACTACAGAGGCGCGATGGGTATTATGCTAGTATACGACATAACGAACGAGAAAAGTTTCGAAAATATTAAGAATTGGATTAGGAATATAGAGGAAAATGCGTCGTCGGACGTAGAGAAGATGCTTTTAGGTAATAAATGCGAATTAGAAGATAAACGACAGGTGTCCAAGGAGAGAGGCGAACAATTGGCTGTTGAATATGGTATTAAGTTTATAGAAACTAGTGCGAAAGCTAGCATTCGAGTGGAAGAAGCTTTCTTTACCTTAGCTAGAGATATAAAAGCGAATACGGAGAAGAAATTGGTATGTGTTATTTTAATCATTGTCTCTATATTTTTGTACCGTTATTATGAGTAGAACTAGATGAGAATCAAATATGATATATCCGGAATGAAACAATCATTAAACACGGTCCAACAATTGTGTTCTGTGGAATAGATAATAATAATCTACTAATAATAGTTTTGATCCTTGATCTGTGAATCTGTAGAGTGACTTCTTTTTAATGTTTCACATTGGGTTCCTCACAATTATGTTCAGTGTCTGTCCATATGTATTTTCCATGGGTTAAAAACAGCAAAATTTTAAACATGTTTGCTTAATCTTTCAGTGGTAGGTAACATGACCCAAGGTACTGTAAAGACTAATATCACTTCAAAACAATGTTTAGCTGAAATAAAAGATTGCCCAATATTGTTAGAAACGTATTAGAATTGAAAATTGTATTTTTATTCATTTTTTAAGAAATATCCTCTGGAGGTAGGTGAGTTTTTGAGAATTTGTACATTGTTATGCTTGTAATAAAAAATGCTATGCAATGCAGTAGGTATTTTTACAGGCCAGAGTTAATGATGATTTCTGATTTCTCCTAAACAAAATGTTGTATTAAAATTCTTTCAACGGTGTCTTATAGAGCTCAAAAAGTGGCAAAGAGAAAGTGTTACTCATTTTGTCGTGTCTGTTCAAATAAGAGCAGAAAAAAAACGAAATCTGGAAATTTCCGTTTTTCTGGCATATCTTTAAAAGTAACCAGAATTTTCTGGTTTTCTTTAAAGCTTGATGATAACTCTACAAGTGCGCATCCTTTTTCCTAATTTATCCATTATTTTATCTTCTATGGTTTTGGAGATTCCAATGATAGACATCCCTATCCGTGGTCACCTTGAGTATGGTCTTGATCTCAACCTTCAAGGCCATTATTATCGGACAGTTTCTTATTTATCAATTGGTTTGACCTATCAATTACAGTAAAAATGGGTGAGAGTAATACTTTTTGGTCTAAGATGGTAGGGATGATGAGATATGTCCCAAAATTGATTCTAAATTCCAAATTAGTTTTTGAAAACTCGAAAAAAATTCCACTGTAATGCTTGACTGGACAATGAAAATGCAGAGAATTCCGCGAAATTTGTTGTGTACATACTTGATGAGTTAAGGAACAAAATTGTCGAACCATTTTTTTAAATTGCTCAACAAACAAAAAAGTTATACTCATTTGAAGATTGGTCCTTCGGGTCAGAAGTGTCCTCCGTCTACTAGTGAGGCATCTAATTTCGGATGACACGAAAATTTGTAATCATAATATCGACTTAAATCGTTCATTTTTTGTTAATTGCTACATTTTCAACAACTACCAATGTGGGGTGCTATTTCTCAAAAACTGTTATCTATTTATCCAACAGAAATAATTAAGCTCCTCCCGAAACATTCCCATCTGAATTAACATACCTAACCTCAAAAGTGTCAATATTTAACACATGAATGACGTTTTGTAATTTAGTTGTCAGTGCGACATGCGATTTTTAAAATTCCCCGGGTTTTATAATTTTGTGGGTCAAAATTTAGCGGGAGTCGCTTATTAACTTGGGGCGAATAGAAAATTATATCTACGCCACTAGACAAAAAATGCACAAAACTTTTCCCTTTGCAATTTTTGTTATATCTCTCATAAACTAAGTGGTATGTTAAAAAATGGACTCAATCATGTTGTTAAAAATTGAATTTGCGCATGCGCGCCCACATTTGAATGAAATTTTATGCGTACCCTTTTAGTAGAAGTACAAACGTTAAATATTGGTTCATACAGATAAAAAGCCAACCGTGTACACTGTGTCCAAGATAAGGATGTCTATCATGGGGATCCCAAAACCATAGAAGATACGATGATAATCAAATTAGATAAAAAACGCGCAAATAAAGATTATCATACTTTAAAGAAAACCAGAATTTTTCGATTACTTCCGAAAATATACTTAAAAAACCGAAATTTGTCGATTACGTTATAATTTTTTTTAATAATAAAAGATACAAAAAATTTAAAAAAAACACTTTCTCATCGCCAGAAACCGTTGAGAGGTTTTCAATAAGGCGTTTGGTTTCAACAGGATAGCCTATTAGATAAATTTCCTGGAAAATGGAAAATACCGTTTCTAAAGAACTATGGGAATTGCACTAAGAAGAATACTAGAAGTGTTAGTGTGAACTACTAGACAGCTTGGTGAATTAGTGCGCATTGTACCAAATTACTGCAACCGTTTACCCTTCAAGATTTCAATAGTGATGACAATCACGTGTGCTTGTTCGGGATTGGAAAACACCCAGATTGAAAAAAAAACGCATCTGTTACAACCATTACTGTAAATTAAAGAATTTCATATACTTAGTTTAGTTGAAACTTACAAGAGCCTTCATTTGTAAATGATTGCTGTACCTTTCAAACGACAATTGATCAAATTACTACCAGTTCTGCTCATAATATTCTAATCTTTAATAATAAATTACACTAGTAGACGTACTGCAAATCCATATGTGATATGCAAAATGAAATATTTTACACCATAGAAATTAGTTTTTTGTTTTGGTTATTGACCGTACAAGTCTTTTGCTATCCAATATTGGGTTTTTCTTTTTATATAAGTATCAACGTATTGTAAATAAGCAGTTTTTAATACTTTCTTTTCTTCTATTCTCTTCTAACTTTCTATGGGGATCCAGAAGGTAAATATGTCTTTTTGTGTTGCATGCAGCTATAGACACTGCTTCAATTAACAATTTATCATTCAAGTATATTCATGTATCATAAAATCGTTAATTTAAATTAAGTACCTAAGTACATTTCACGTGAAAGATCAACATTTTCAAATTAGCATTAGGAATAAAAGTAACTGTAGTCACCATTACCAGGTGTGGGTTGTAAATCATGACCATAGTAAATTTTTTCATTTCCAATTTTATAATAACCTATTTCTTGATTCAGTAAGTATCACAATAATCTCTGCTGTTGTGCACATCAGGACAGAAGGGCATATGATTTTATTAGCTCGATGATTAAAATTATACAAAATGTGTAGGCGTATAAGCCAATTTTATATACGTCAAGTCATGTACATATGCCCCACAATTACTTACTAAAGGTTTATACACCCCTATGACCTGATACCCTCAATATCAATAGATGGACTCTAGTTTAGAATACAGTGACCATGCAGCCATATGCTCTAGGTCTGCCATTTTTATGCCAATTTTATAATTAAACTTGTGGCAAAATTACATACCTATATTGATTGCTGTAACTTGGCTGGTTTGGTTTGCTATGGTTAATTACTACCAATACTCCTAAAACTTAACTTGCTTACCAAAGTTTACTGCATATTTCCTAAAGCACAAGTAATTATGCACGCTTTACGCTATATCTTCCCACCGACGAATGGAGCAGCAACTAATGTGTGATTTTTGAAATATCGATTGGTATGAATTGAAAGCGACTGTAATGTTACACATTGTTTACACCTGAACATATCTCTCCATCATTCAGTTTAGTTATTAAGAACGTTGCAAATAATATTTATGGTTTGTTAATGTTTATAGGAGGCGAGCAATCCCCCAAAAGGCGGCCATCAGCTGAAAGCTACAGAACCGCAAAGAAAACCCACAAACTGGCTGTCACGCTGTACTTTGCTTTGACCAATTACGGTACATTAACGAACCATCACACAATCACAAGCTGGGACTTTTTTATACATAAATATATTTTTGATCAATATGTGACTAGCTTTAGAAACAGGTCAATTGTTCAGATGGTAAAAAAAATAAATGAACAATATTTGTAAGTGTGATATACTCATAGGATGGAAGATTCAAGTCCGGCACAGACTTTTTTTCTTGTGTACATCCTTGATATTAAACATGGCCTATACATTTTTCATATTTTATACTATGTACAACCATTATCAAGTCTAGTTGCATAAGGACAAAGAAGGGTGTACTAAAATCTTTCAAATCTGAATGTGAACACAGTTTTATTAAAGGACTAAATTTAGTATTGTTTTCCTTACTAATGTAAGAACGAATTTGCCATAGATGTGTTTATTTTTCAATTACCGCAAATTCAGTTGATATGACTATAGAAATGGCTGTATATATTAGTACATATTGTATTATTTAAATTGTGAAGAAGGCTTGTATGTATGTGATGGAGGGCAATTAAATTTTTTTATCGTTAACAGTTAATAAAATTTTATATAGGATTATATTACAATACATCAGCCGCACAAAGTTCTGTGCAGCTCGTATTATTTTAAAGACATAGATTTTTTATTTAAATTATTTAGATTTATTGAAAAATAAATTTTTTTATTTTATATTTTTTGTTTCTGTTTATATTGTGTTTATTTAGTTTTGCTAGATCACTACTCCTACTGGTTGTCATACTGCTCTTCTAATCTTGATCAATCTATATTTGGTTTTTTATGTTGCTATTGCAGCTTCAATTTTTATTTTTAAGATACTGTTAATATACCTTCATGTGATTTTGTCAATATTGAGTTAGTTGGTTGTTTGCTGGTTATCCTCGTATGATTTCATTCATTCCGTATTTTTCTATTGACATCTTATGTGTATATGGTCAGAACAAACGAATGTTTACGCCAAAATGTGATGAGTGCAAAATAGTCAGCATTTTATCGTCTATACTATACTGCACCTCTAGATGCAGTATGGGGTCTTATGGACTAAGTGCCTCTCTTACTAATTTGGGTCATTCTGCGATAACGCTATCCTTGCTCCTCACCGCAATGATGCCAAACTGACATATGGTTGAATTGAAGTATTAAAACACAATATATCTCCTTGGGCTGTCATTGTCACATTTGTTATTTGACAAGCATACACCTACCCTAAATCCTTTGTTTGGATTCTTCTATTGTCAATAAATGCAATACAAAATCTGTGCCATGCAAATAGTTTTCATGGGTCGATTCCTTTAGGAATATTAAAATAACTTGACACATTCCTAAAAATAACCGACCACTAGTTTATACAAATGAAAAAAAAATTGACAACTTACAGTAGGTCCATAATTGCAATTCTTCACACATACGCGAAAATCAGCTTAGAATGTCCACTCTCCCATTTCTTTCGCTATTTGAATCTCGCTTTCTTTTCTCAACGCAATGACCTCGACTGGCAACAAACCAATAGAAAACCCACATTTCGGCTTTTTCAGGCGACTTAAATGGAATGAATGCAACAAGGTCCGAAGAGATCGTGAGAACCGCGCTCGATTTCCCCCATACGTTTTTTGTTATCGGCAGACTTAGTTCAAGTTTACTCTGAAGTGGCACGTGGCAATATCCCTATTAACAAAATACAAATTAATAACTAAATTTTTGAAACGGCATAGCAACCACCCATTTACAAGGTACAATTGAATAAAGCATCAACTTCGATCGCAAACCTGGGAAGATATACTCAAATTTCAAAAAGGTCTTGATAAGCACAATGGTGATCTGGACTAATTTGTTGATGTGAAGCGTATTTACAGAGAAGAATTCAGCAACAGGTGGTATATAAGTAAAGAGAAATACTTTTAAGAGGTCGTGCCTCGCTTTCAAACAGGCTTGACGATTATTCAAAAATGCCAGTTGGAGACGAACCATCCTTATTCAAACCCGAACCACGGTTTGGTCACATATACCTATATGTATATTAAAACACTAGGAAACGCATCGAAGTAATCGTCAAACATGGTAAGTTAACACAATCACCTTCATAGAGCAATCATCCCTTCATTCGAAGTACTTTTCGAGCGTGGTAAGAAAAGTCTCTTCGTGCAAATAAGGTATATCTATGCGTAGACATTATAACACTAATACGCGCACGTTTAAGTGCAGGTGGAAACTATTCATTTATTGAAGTAAAGAGCAATTTTGGAAGAGCTTCTGTAAAAACATGGAAAGTACTTATTAAGAAGCTGCACTTCTAGGTTTTGCCACTACTGTGAGGGATTGGAAAGTGAACACTTAAATAGCCACATTCGTAAACGTGCAGTTATCAGTGTCATAAACTCTTGTAAATTTTAACTTTGAACATACAAATCTCCTTCGCGTCAGGAGACAACACAACCTCGAGCTAATTATTCGATGACTGCTGTTAAATTTGTGTAAGGTGGGTTGCATACCTGTCAGGTATATCAATGCATTGCCTTGTATATTTCAGAATTGAACTTAGGAGATATATGTATGTTGTTAAAATTTACGCACTGTATCTTCGAGAGTCGTCAAAAATCAAATCCCTATATATAATATGAACAGTTTTTGTAGAATGTGGAACAAATTTATAAAATCATTTATTATCAATAGGCTTCCATAAAATCAAATGCTAATTTATAAAAGAAAGATCCATGTTTAAATACTGTAGTGGTGTGCAATTATTTTGTTACGAGCTATTGCGCAGTTTACCAATGTCGCGCAAATCCAAACCATTTTCCCAACTTTCCTAAAAACATTCTTCTTTTCTTTTACCTCATTTAATTCTAACATAAAATTCACTAAGTAGTTTTTTTAGTTGAGTGAATCTGTCCTTTTCGAATACTGCAGACATGCTCCCTTTAGTTCTTAACAATAATTTCACTCCAGTTAATACTAACTATTATAGCTGTAAACGATAGGTACTTGAGTTTAATATGATTTATTTAAATTCTTTAGATCAAAGAAGAATTACCTCCATTGAATTTAATGGGCCCCTAAGTTGTGTTAATCCGGACCCCTCAAAA